ATAAACATGTGAATTAAACTCGAATGTAGTAGATATTGAACATGTTGATTATACTAGAAAACTAAAAAATAATTCGCATAGTATCTTTAACTACAATTTGAGACATTCATGAACATGCAAATTATATTATAAAATTATAAAATAAAAAACATGCACAACATGGGAAAAAATTAAGAGTCATGCCCATGAGATATAATGATACTAGAACTAGACCCCTCGAAAAATATATATGTTAAAATAAATTTAAATTGCTAATCTGAATGTGTTCGGTAAAATTAAATTTATATTATTAATCCTTGACCGCATGCAACTTACACATAAGACTAAAACTGTAGTAAAACCAATCACATCGGGAAAAAAAAAAAATAATAAATAAATAAATAAATAAATTATTCACTTAAATAAAGTTGAATAGATGGAAACAACATTTGCTAGCATAAATATGAAATTCAATTCTATAGGAAGTAGCAGAATAACATATATATAAATCAATTGAAATTCGAATCATGAATTGGTGAAATAGTAAGAAGCATATAAATATGTATAAATACATTGAACGAATCCAAAATAGTGTACAGCAGGGCCAAAGTACTAGGGCAGTGCAATAATTATATTAGAAACGAAACGTTACAAACAATTAACAGGCATATCCCTTCAGAAAATAAAACCATTTTCTGTAATTTTTCCTTGATTAACAAATGCAAAGCAGAGAACTCATATAATGGGGAAATTAATCTAGTATAAAATATGATGTATCTATTTGTCCAATTTCATGAAAAACATATAATCTGTTTTAAGATTGTTGTACAGATTGTGTAATTAAATAAGATAAACAAACAGATTTATATGAAATTAAATTTATTTACAGAATAAAAAATCATGGAATTACATCATACAACTTAATGAACATAAATACATATAATAAAACTTAACGAAAAGAAAACAAACAGAAGCTTGTGTGATACAGTCTCCTTAAAAAAGATTCGCCGCTTCACTGGGGGTGTTGGAGGTATATCGGTGTCTGTCTCCCAAGATACGACGATATTGACCCGCTAACGCAGAAATACCTCCTGCTTAACTCCAACGAACGGACAATGACAGTACTCCCTCACACCAGAAGAAGAATATAGGAGCAGACTGACTGTATAGGATGGAAGCTAAAAATTCTGTGTTAAAATCAAGGAATATCACCTCCTTTTATACACAATGGAGGAGAGATGAAGAGCCTCATGATCATGAAAGCTGGCAACAAATGCAGCCCATTACTCCTGCAAAATTGATAGGGAATAAGTGTGTAAGTTACATTTTATATACACATGTGTGTATGTCTATAGCCACCAAACAAACTTGGCCCAAAAAGATTATATTGGTGGACCACTAATCCAGCTCAGTCCAAACCTAACCCATTCCAGCAAGCTTTAAGCCCAACTCCAAAGGACCCGGACCGGTTTGGTATAGGCAGACGGGTGTCACGCGTGTGCATGACAATTTTGCATAACCAACTTGGACCATTGTTTTGGCCCAAGCCCATCTTTAAAGCATCCATAACTCTATTTCTTCAGAAAATTTGGATGTCTCAAAGGGCTCATGCCCTTATCAAAATCTTGAACTTTAAATACCCATCAATATTTTCGTCTACAATTAATGTAGGATTGGTAGTTATATACAATTCCTAATACCTCATTCACGAGGTCAACTTTATGAGATAATTTATCATTCAATCCTTAATGGTTTTTTATCATTCTTTTTATAGTGTAAAAATCTTATTATAAAGAATCTAAACTTATTTGATCCCACCTCAATCAATGATTGAGATCTACTTTAATTTTTCATTAAAATCACCGTAACATCATTATTTTCCAACACTACTGCTCTATGCCATTTGGTTTGCATTGCCCATTCCAGCCGCTATTCCGCTGTAGCTCAAATTTTGCCTCCCACAGCTACAAATGTAAGTTGCCAAACGAGGTGTTCCCAAAAACATACCCAAAGTTTTGGACAAGCAGGTAAAGGTACAACAAACAAAGGGTAATGCGAGTAAACTAACAAAAAGAAAATCTACGAGCAGAAGTGGGACAAGCCACGTGATGACAGAAATACAAAATTGCATAAGGGCCTAGTAAAACTGTAATTTGTTGAAAACAAAGGGATAATTCTGGTAAGATAAAAATACAAGACACAAACATTTTTTTATAGTGTATAGGTATATATATATTGTTGGTAAATTTTATTGCACGGATGCACCACACTGCATGTCCTGCCACAAGAAATGCAAGTGACTCGTGTACCTCGTGGAACGATGCTGTACAGTACAAAAGAAAGGAACAATACTAGGTATCATGAAAAAAAATTTATGAAAATGATCATGAAAGATTTATGACTCTTGGATTACACTTAAAATAAAACACCACACACTAATTAAGGTAATCAAGGGTCATAATTCTTTTATGATCATTTTTATGAAAGTTTTTTCATGATCCTTAGCTTTTCTCAAAAGAAAGGGACTCTCAATCGCGAGGAGTGTGGTAGTGCATCATCGACTTGCATAGAAACTTCTAATTTTAGATTTATAAATTGATTCACAATAAAAAATTAAAAAATTAAGTCATGTATTATTGAGTAAGTGATAAATTAAAAATAAATATTTATCATATTATATTATTATGCATTAAATTGTAAGATTTTTTTTTAAAAAAATTTTAAACATTTTTATAAATAATGAGTGACTGTAAGGGACTCTCAATCGCGAGGAGTGTGGTAGTGCATCATCGACTCGCATAGAAACTTCTAATTTTAGATTCATAAATTGATTCACAATAAAAAATTAAAAAATTAAGTCATGTATTATTGAGTAAGTGATAAATTAAAAATAAATATTTATCATATTATATTATTATGCATTAAATTGTAAGATTTTTTTTTAAAAAAATTTTAAACATTTTTATAAATAATGAGTGACTGTATGTATAGGACAATTTTAGTTCACAATTTTGGAAAATTAATTAAAATAATTTTGTTATGCCTGAGCTGATTGTTTGATGGGTATTGCTCTGATTTGCTCCTCTTTAATAATTGGAGGGTGCTGTTTAGCATTGGTGGGTCATGATCTGACCATGGCAAAATAATTCAAACCGTTCAATGTGTAGAGCACATTGAGTATATTATCCTTACAAAAAATTACATTAATCTAATATCAATAACTATTTGATCATATCACATTTTCATATAATTTTCAAATATAATTTTCCAAATAAATTGTGATAGAAATGTGATCTGATTAAATTATTATCGATATCTGATCAACACAATTTTTTATAAAAATAATATACATGATGAATTTTATATATTAAACTATTTGAATTATCGTCATGGGCCAAAATCAAGATCCAATAATACCGAACAACACCCTCCACTCATGTATATATAATATCTATATAATAAGGTAAGAGGCTTTTTGAAAATGTCTTCAAATGTATGAGAGATACATTTCAATTCAACGACTGAGATGAGTTGTTTTTAAACATTGAAGGCTGAGATGCTTTGTAATATTTTCAATTCCCGCCCAAAACAATCCCCTATCTCTCTTGTGTTCCACCCACTCCAAACATTATTTGCACACTTCTCTCTCTCTCTCTCTCTCTCTCTCTCTCTCTCTCTCCAACTTCTCAGGTCTCAAACTCTGTCCTCAGATCTCTCTCTTCCTCTCCCTCCTCTCTACCATCGAGTCGTCTCCACCGTCGCGCCGCTTCCGATCTCCTCTCCAACTTCTCAGGTCTCAAACTCTCTATCCTCAGAGATCTCTTTCTTCCTCTCCCTTCTCTCCACTGCCGCTCCGCTTCCACCATCGCGTCGTCTTCATCGTCGCGTCGCCTCCGATCTCCACCGACAGCAACTCTTCATCTCTTCTCCCTATTAGATCTCAACCCACTACGGCACCTCCGTCCTCCATCGCAGAGAAACTGTAAATCATCGAAAATCCAAGTCCGCAACTTGAATCATTCATGTACTGTGTGTTTTACAGAGACTTTGATTTAGTTTACTTGAGAAGATTTGATAAAAGCATTTTCCGATCTCTGTTTTCCTTATGTTTCTGGTAATTTACGAAAGCTTCAATTATTTATTTATTTATTTTTACACGAAATCGAAGTATGAAATTTGAATAATTCATGTACGGTGCGTTATATAGCTACTTTGATTATTTTACTTGAGAAGATTTGATAAAAGCATTGTCATATCTCTGTTTTCGTTGTGTTTTCTTCTTTTTTCTGGTAATCTGATTCGGAAATCGAAAGCTTCAATCATTGTTTTTATTTTTTAATTTTTATTTTCATACTAAATCGATGTCTAAAATTTGAATAACTCATGTACTGTGCGTTATACAGCTATTTTGATTAGTTTACTTTAGAAGATTTGATAAAACCATTGTCCGATCTCTGGTTTCCCTATGTTTTGTTCTTTTTCTGGTAACTGAATCGTAAAATATAGAGCTTAAATAGTTGTTTTTTTTCCTTCCTTCACAAAATCGAAGTCTAAAAATTGAATCCTTCATGTACTGTGCGTTATACAGCTACTTTGATTAGTTTATTATTTGAGAAGATTTAATGAAAGCATTGTTCTCTGATTTCTCTATGTTTTGTTCTTTTTCTGGTAAGCTGAATCCTAAATTGAAGTCTGAAAATTGAATCCTTCAATGTACCACTGCTATTTTGATTAGCTTACCCAATGCTATTTAGATAGAGAAAACATAGAGAAAGCATTGTCCAAATTGAAGAATGAAAGCATTGTGTAAGCATGATAATCAAAGTAGAGAAAACATAGAGAAAGCATAGTACAGCTATTTTCAATCACATACACATACACAGTACATACACATTCTGCATTGTTCTCTGTGTATGTGTAAGCTAATCCTTCTATGTTTTGTGTACAATGTGAAAGCATTGTCCAGCTATTTAGATCGAAACGGAGGTTTATGGTTTTGATTGTGAGTTGGTGTTTCAGATGAGATCGCGAAGCTCTTTCTTGGCTTATTTGGGCAGCCATCGGCAATGTTGGTGCCGGGTGAATCGGCCGAGTTTCCCTCAGGTCTGAAGTTGAAGATTGGAGTGGTTTTGTCGGGAGGCCAAGCCCCTGGAGGACACAATGTGATATCTGGAATCTTCGGTTAGTGAACTTCAATTACTGAACTTCAATTTTCTTTTTGGATGTGTATGTGTTTGTGTGTGGTAGATTACTTGCAGGATCGTTGCAAAGGAAGCACAGTGTACGGGTTTAGGGGTGGACCAGCTGGGATCATGAAGTGCAAATATGTGGTGTTGACTCCAGAGTTCATTTACCCGTACAAAAATCAGGTCAGAATTATTTGAATGAAACTTGAATTATTTTTTGAATATTAATATTAAATCGGAATCGGAAGCGAACAGTTTTTCTTCTTCTTCCATTAATATTAATATTTCAGAAGGAAGCAAATAGTGAAAAGGGAAAATAGAGATCATACGGTCAAAAATCCACTGAAGCTGTACTGCATAATTGATATAGTATCAACACCTAATTCCAGGTCATTCAGGTAAGGACCATCTATGTCCATGATAGTTTTAACATCGGAAATCCAGAGAAAGCCCATGTGTGGTTGAAGCGGATGCTATAATCAAATAATTTGGGACCTTGATCATGAAAAATGATTGCTCCTTTAATTTTGGGATTTGGACAGTTCCTATACATCAAGAAAAAGAAACTTTAACATCCTTATGTGCTGATTGTGTAGAATCAATAATGTGAGTTCACTGATAAGCATTCAGAAGATACAAAAAGAGCAATCAGGGAATAGGAAAAAAGAATTTAACATCTTTCTATGCTAATGACCCAGAAATAATAATGTGAGTTTATGGTTTTGGGAAGATACAAAATGCAGGCATGCATAATTTTAAAATTTGTTGCTCAAACAGATAAAAACATACATGACAAGCATATTGTAGAGACAATAATTGCATGCTGTATATAGTAATCACATTAATAATCTCTTTATTTGAATTTATGTTTGAATCAGATTTTGTTTTTTTTGTTATATAGATTACCATGTCATATTGTTGATTATAGTTTCTTTTGTTTCTTTAAATCGTGAATAGCTTTTTTTTTTTTTTTCTTTCATCTTTCTGTATCATTAATTTACATTATTTTGTTAGTTCTGTTAAGCCCAGTTAGAAGAAAACATATATTTCTGACTGTTGGTATGCAGATTTGGATTGAATTAAGAATATGATTTTCATAGTGTTAGTTTTTTAACTTAGTTTTGACAGTTTGGAGTTTATGAATTCAGATTCTTTGAAATAACGGAAGTAATGGACTTCGTCTGTATTTATATTCTGTTTTAGACAATATTGGTTCTGGCTTGCATTTGTTATTATTTTTTTTGATGTTTTATTAAGATAATTTGTGTGAATAAGCCATTTTAAGACAATTTTTTTCTTCTGATCTTAGTTTAAAACAATTTGTCCTAATTTGTGTACTGATTTTTTTTAACAAGGTGTACTGACTTTAATTTGTGTGTGTTAGATACGATTGTGTGTAATATATATGCATGTTTGTATATAATTTCAGAGATTGATGTATATATATGTATGATTATGTATCGGCGTTGGTCGCCCTTTAAATTTAGGTATTTTCTTCTCTCTCCTCTCTCTCTCTCTCTCTCTCTCTAAATATTGTTGAGGAAGATGGATTTGGGAGGGTTTTTCAAACCCAAAGATGGAAACACCCATCAAAATTCTTCCACTGATAAATTGCCATGTACACTGTTTTCTCTCACTTCTTTATTATATTACTTTCTAATTTGAGTTGAAAATGTGGTGTCATTTTCATGTACAGCTATTTTCATGTTGAATTGAATTTGGTGTCATTTTCATGTATAGCTATTTTCATGTGGTGTCATTTTCGTGAAAATGTGGTGTCATTTTCATGTTGTTTGAATTGAATTTGTTGAAATTCATGTTAATTAATGTTTGTTCAGTTGTATTTAGGTGAATTTCCTTACACTTCAACAATTAGCTTTGAAAAAGAACTACAACAACAATAACAATTAGCTTATATCACAATGGCTTTGTTGACAAATAGGGTTCTATCATTACAGAATAGAGAGATGAGCTCTTGCCAAATTTTGGCATTGTTATAATTTGGCACCAAAAAATAGCACATGAATTGGAAGTGTTGTTGCCAAATTTTGGCTTTCGCATGAAGGGAAAGCACACCATTAGCTTGAAAATAGATGTGTTATTCTATAATTTTTCTTTTTGGATGATTATTCAGTAGTCCTAGAGTATTCTATAATTTTCCATTTTTTTGATAGAATGTATATTTGGGGAAAGAAATGGAGATTATGAATGAGATAAATGGAAAGTGAAAAATTTAGTAAATTCAGTTTACATGGCACCTGATATGTAATTTCAATAATAAGGAAATACCGCTATGTAATTTCAATAATAAGGAAATACCGCTATGTAATTTTAACGAGTGACAAAAAGTGGGGTAGGAGACGACCACTGGATTCATCGAGAGAGAGCCCGATTTCTCTGCCTTGATGAAATGGCAAGATATGTTGAGCCCAATTTCTCTGCCTTGATATATGTATAAGACTTGATCTATGCAAAGTAAATTTTTGTAGCTAAAATTTGTACATATAAAAGGCTCTGATCTATCCAAATTTATGATCATGATGAAGAGGTCGAAGAGTGTGGCAAAGAGGTCGAAGAAGTACTTGGAAGAGGCACATACAACTTTGTTTTATTTTTAATTTTTTGATTTTTTTTTTGTGTGATGATGATGAACAGATAGGATTTGGTGATTATGTTGTTGTTAATGAACAAATAGGATTACGTACGTGTTTGGGTATGATTTGGATTGGTGTTTGTGTTTCCAAACTGGTGAGCAAGTTTGTGTTTGTGTTACGAAGGTAAGAATGAAAGGAGATGTGAAGTTGCTAAAAAATTAGTAGAGCAACTTTATTGAAATATTTAGGTGGGTTGAAAGAGCGATTTTATTTATTTATTTATTTTTTTGACTCATTTTGTAGTATGGTATACAAACTAATCCTTGAGTTTGAAATAATAATCCATCCTCACGAAATGGTTTTCAAATGGTTTTTAAAATATTCTTAAGTGATTTTTCAAATGGTTTTCAATGTTTCATTGTGTTGGATTTGTGTTATTATTATTATTATTATTATTATTATTATATATTTTTGTTGATTAGGTTGTGTTTCTAAGGTTTCGGTTTCGATTTGTGTTTGTGTTTCTAAGATTTCTGTTTGGTTTTGTGTGATTAGGTATGCATTCAATGGAACAACAGAAAAAGTTAGAAACAAAGATTAAGAGACACAAAGCATTGGAACAGAGCATTGAAAATCATTATGTTTCTTTTCAATCAAAGCAAAAGAGACCCATCAATTTGGGTTTGTGTTTCTAAGATTTGGATTTGTATTTGTTTTTCTAAACCTTAGACTAATGTGTTTGTGTTGGATTTGTGTTTTTAAACCTTAAACTGATATGTATTTGGATTTCTCTTTCTTTTTTTGTGTTCTGTTTCTTTTTTCATTTTTTTATTTATGCATCTTTCAATTTATATGGGTTGGTGTTAAGTTATGTTATGTATTTGGGTTGGTGTTTTTAAACCTTAAACCGATATATATTTGTTTTTCTTTTTTGTGTTGTCAGGTGAGGGTCTTGACATTGGTTTGTGGGGGCTGTTGACATTGGTTTGGGTCTCAACATTTTATTTTTTATTTTTTTTTTCTTCAACCCGCATGTCTCTCATGGGTCATTATTTTTGTTTCATTTTATTTTATGTCTATAACCCAATTTAAATTTTCACTCATAATTCATGGACAATTTCTTCATCCCTGTTGAAGACATGATGAAGAAATTGAAAAGAAACAGAGTAAGAAAAGAGATAGTGGTCGGTTTTCTTAATTGTGTTGCGCATTTAAATGCTTGGCCACTATCACATATTTATTTATTTTATGTGCTATTCAAATTGTGTTGATATATTATTATTTTTTTTCAATAGGAATGCAAAATGTGTTGATATATTATTATTTTTTTCAATAAGAATGCAAAAAAAATGTGAAAGACAGACCCCGCAAAGGACTGATGGCTACTTCTTCCTATCGACAAATTGCTTGGATTGTTAATGGTATTTATTTATTATTTATTATTTAGTAAAATACATAAAAGATCTCAGATTGTTTAGATTGAAAACATGCAAATAGTTTAGATTGAAAATAAATCAGAAATTTAATTTTTAAATTTATAAAATTAAAAACTCAATAGTTTATTTTGTTACAAGTATTAAATTTTAAGTTTTTTTTTTTGGTTAATTTTTCCTAAATTTTAATGATACCTACAATTATTCAAACAAAATTGGCTTATGTGTGGTGGCAGTGTTTCTAATATATTCATGTTCTCAATGATTAATTAAATGTTGAGGATGCATTAAATTAATTAATTAATTAATTAATTAATTGACATTATACGTAGAAATTATAATTACATTTTAATTCCAACATTATTTACACTAAACATTATTTACGCCGTGCCTTCAGGTACGAGCATACGCTAGTTATTTTCTATGTGAAGAGGACCCTGTATCCATTTATATATAATATTATTGTCTATGTCCATGTGGTAGTTGGTTCAGATGGGATACCTCTACGTCGCTCAAATATTATGAATTTTTTTTTACAACCTTATAATTTGAGGGGAAAATCTTGTGTTGTGCATCTCTTCAGGGGTCAGTAGCACTCTATTATAAAAACGTACAACTTTATCACAAAATATGTAATATTATTATAAATTGACATAATAATATGTCAAAAATTTGTGATTAATATCGTAAAAGTTAATGGTTTTGTTACGAAATTTTTTGTTAGGTTAATTTGTGGAGAGATTATGACTTTTATGGTTGATATTACTCATTTTGTGATAGGGTGCGTATGGTGTGCACCTTGTTTGATGTTGCAAAAGTTTATACCTTGGTTACAAATTTTTTTTGCTACGTCAATCTGTGGCGAGATTATGTATTTTGTGATTGATGTAACAAAATTTTATGATAAAATTATACATTTTGTAATAGAGTGTATATGATATGAACTCCTAAAGAGGTGCACACCATAGCATTTCCGAATCTGAGTATTTATAGAATATTTAGTATATCAACTCTTAAAATTTAAGTAAATTTCTTTTGGGTATCTCATAATTGGAAAAGTTTCACATTTTATATTTTTTAATTTGTACTTCTTTAAATGATAACTATAGAAAATGTGTATTTATATCTATTTGTTTTTAAAAACAAAAGAAAACTTACAGGGTTAAGTGAGAAAATTATATAAAAAGAAAAAAAGAAAGTTCAGGGACACAGTGAAGTAACACACTTTAATAACAAAATTATAGAAGGTGAACAAATTAAGGACAGGAAAAAAAAAAAAGAAAAAAAAAAGAAAAAAGAAAAAAGAAAGTTCGGGGACAAGCATGGCTCAACTTAGGTATAGCTAGAGAAATGTTTGTGATAGAATGAAGTAAGACAGAGAATCTAGTGGAGTGGGGTGGAGCAGAGTGGAGCCAATGTAATCAAGCTTTTCATTATTTACACTAAATATTATTTACGCCGTGCCTTCAGCTACCAGCATACGCTAATTATTTTCTATGTGAAGAGGACCTGTATCCATTTATATATAATATTATTGTCTATGTCCATGTGGTAGTTGGTTCAAATGGGATACCTCTACGTCGCTCAAATATTATGAATTTTTTTTTACAACCTTATAATTTGAGGGGAAAATCTTGTGTTGTGCATCTCTTCAGGGGTCAGTAGCACTCTATTATAAAAACGTATAATTTTATCACAAAATATGTAATATTATTATAAATTGACATAATAATATGTCAAAAATTTGTGATTAATATCGTAAAAGTTAATGGTTTTGTTACGAAATTTTTTGTTAGGTTAATTTGTGGAGAGATTATGACTTTTATGGTTGATATTACTCATTTTGTGATAGGGTGCGTATGGTGTGCACCTTGTTTGATGTTGCAAAAGTTTATACCTTGGTTACAAATTTTTTTTGCTACGTCAATCTGTGGCGAGATTATGTATTTTGTGATTGATGTAACAAAATTTTATGATAAAATTATACATTTTGTAATAGAGTGTATATGATATGAACTCCTAAAGAGGTGCACACCATAGCATTTCCGAATCTGAGTATTTATAGAATATTTAGTATATCAACTCTTAAAATTTAAGTAAATTTCTTTTGGGTATCTCATAATTGGAAAAGTTTCACATTTTATATTTTTTAATTTGTACTTCTTTAAATGATAACTATAGAAAATGTGTATTTATATCTATTTGTTTTTAAAAACAAAAGAAAACTTACAGGGTTAAGTGAGAAAATTATATAAAAAGAAAAAAAGAAAGTTCAGGGACACAGTGAAGTAACACACTTTAATAACAAAATTATAGAAGGTGAACAAATTAAGGACAGGAAAAAAAAAAAAAGAAAAAAAAAAGAAAAAAGAAAAAAGAAAGTTCGGGGACAAGCATGGCTCAACTTAGGTATAGCTAGAGAAATGTTTGTGATAGAATGAAGTAAGACAGAGAATCTAGTGGAGTGGGGTGGAGCAGAGTGGAGCCAATGTAATCAAGCTTTTCATTAACTAATTAATAAGGAAACAGTCGAATAGGAAGACCCTTCTCTGGGACAGGCATGGGATTGACAATAATCTTCTCATCAGGAATCAATTTTTCCCATCTGAACCTCTTCACTAGGTTGTGCATGAATACTAATATTTCCAAACGGGCATACTCTTTTCCAGGGCACATCCTCGGCCCTCCTCCAAATGGAACAAATGTGTAAGGCACTGGTCCTCTTCCCTCAAATCTTGATGGATCAAATTTATAAGGTTCCGAAAAATATTCTGGATTTTTATGTGTCGAGTGCGCACTCCAATATATCTGCATTTCAAGCACGCATACAAGCATTACTATTTTATTTTTAAGAACAAACGAAAAATATGAATAATTAATGTTACAATTGAACTATGCACATAGAAACATAATTGTCCAGGTAGACACATAATGACACAATTCTATAAGTATTTTGCGTCTAAATTGATTTATGTGTTTTCAACATTAATCTTAAGCTATGGTAGATCATTTTACTACTGGGTTCACAATTGCTTTTCTAATAGTTGTTTTTCTTTTTCACCTTTGACAAAACTTAAAGCTGGTTTGGGAAGTGGTTATTTTAGTTGATTTTTTGATTTTTTATGAAAAGATTTACAGAAAAAAAAAGTGATGTGACAACTTATAGTGACTTTGTTGGCTATATTAATTAATTTCTTTGGATAGGATATGTATCATATACATTTTATTAAAAATATTTTCCATAAAAAAATATGTAACATTACCGGCTATGTTTTAACACCAAGCCCATCCTCTCTCTCTACCACTCTAATTTCCCAGGTCATAATTGTGTTGTCATCCCACTATTTTCTCGTACGCTACCACAGCCTCTCATAACCACCGTGCTCGAGTGTGGTCGAAAGAAAAGAGTTAGAGAGGAGGGTGAGATGACAACGGGAAAAGGGAAGGGAGAAGGTAGCCAAGGAAAGGGGTGTATCGTGTCAAAAAAAGAATATTTTTTTTTCTTAATTATCAACTAAATAAGTTGAAAATAAATAGGCAAAATATATTTTTACTTAAAGTAACCAAAAAAGTGGCCTATAATTTAATTTATTTTTATTTTTGGCGTTGGTCGAACAGAGCCTTACGGGTTGTTTGGGGTGTTCTAAATAAGTGTACTTTTTATCTTTTTGGACTAAAATGTTGAGGGAAAAAATATGGATGTTTGGGTTAACTTTTTGAGTTTTTATGGAAAAATGTGTATTAAAAAATTATATAAATTAGTGTGTATTAGTGTATAGGGAAAAATTAGAATTGAGAGTTGTGCAGCCGTACTTTTTGACTTTTTGTGAATAATGATAACTTTTTAACTTTTTGAGTAACTTTTTGACTTTTTAACTTTTTTCCAACTTGCCAAACTTGGCCTTAATAGAAGCAACAATTGTGGTATTGAAATTAATGACCTGTACTCATAGTTATCAGAATTCCGATCCGGATCTTACGATCCTACGATCTTACGATCTATTTAAGTACAATCGATCCGGATCGTGTAAAAAACTCCTTATAGGTAGGATCTTTCGATCTTGGTAGTGGGATCTTATAGGATCGTAAAATCCCGATCCGAATCCGATCCTATCCGATCTAATTTACAAGTCTTATTTTGTATTGTATGACATATTTTATTGTAAATTTTATGTTTGTTGTCTAAATACCAATTTATGTGGTCAAAATAAATAATAAAAATTAAGTAGTATTGAATCAAATAGACTAAGAAAAACAAACTAGAAAACAAATATTCAAATATTGCGGTAATTTAAAAAAATTAAATAGTCGGAAAAACAAACTTAGCTTTAGCAGAGTCAAAAGGGTAAGATGATTGCAATTTTATCCCAATTTTTGAAGAGATTATTTTTGTGACTTGAATCCGCTCCACCAGGGATGCTAACGACAAACCTTATCATTCGGTTAAGGTATTCTTTTGAGTTTTTAATATATTTTCATATCCAACTTTGTTAAATATTTTTTCTTCACTTTTTATGCATTATTGTAGATTGTAAAGTATTTTGTTATAGAATTCTTCTTTCTTCTTCACTTTCTTTTTTGATAAAATATAATACTTTTGCCATCGAGTTTTCTATTGTATAATATTATATGTACATTTTACATACAGTATTATATTTTTCATAATATCTTCACTTTTTTTTAATAGAATATAGGCTCATTTCGTGTATACTTTATAAGAAATATTTATTTAAATTAAATTATTATGTAATCTGTCCTTTTCGGTAGGATCTTACGATCCTCGATCCGATTCTACGATCCGATCCTATAAACACCTCCAACCACTTTCTTTTTTGATAAAATACAATACTTTTGCCATTGAGTTTTCTATTGTATAATATTATATGTACATTTTACATAGAGTATTATATTTTTCATAATATCTTCACTTTTTTTTAATAGAATATAGGCTCATTTTCTGTATACTTTATAAGAAATATTTATTTAAATTAAATCATTATGTAATCTATCCTTTTCGGTAGGATCTTACGATCCTTGATCCGATTCTACGATCCGATCATATAAACACCTCCAACGATCCAACGTAGGATCCCGATTTTAACAACCGTACTTGAATAATGAACTAGTTAATATTAGTACCTTCCAACCCTTTGGAATATAGAAGCCTTCGTACATGAAATCGGTTAAGACGTCTCTGAAAGCACCTTGGAGGGGTGGCGCAAGTCTCAACACTTCACAAGCTACATTCCATGAAAATTTCATCTTCTGAATGTCATCCCAATTCAACAATTCACCTGGAGTTTTCGATTTGGCAATGTCCATTTGCTCTGCATGTTCACAAAGGATCACAAAAAAACAAAAAAAAAAAACAAAAAACAAAAAACAAAAAAAAACAAAAAAACAAAAACAAAAATAAATAAATTGAAATTAGGCACAAATTGAAAGAACAACAACAATTTTCATTTTCTAATTGGCACAGGGAAAAATCATTTTGGCTAGCTCAATTAGTCACTTTTATTCACTCTTAATTAGCGGTTAAGGAATCAATCATTTCTACAATAAAAATTAAATTATTTCTCTCCTTCGTTACGAGACTATTCATTAGGAACATCACTTGTACAATGCCTGTGTTTCTCTTTAAGTTAGTGATGGGTAATAGCATGAACTTTTGATAAGGTCATCATGCATATGGCTTAAAATAAAGGAAAATGTTAGAGGTTCCAAATTTTCTACTAAATAAATGATAAAATGTCTCACATGGTTGTGGGGCCTACAAAATTGCGGACCCCACACCCATGTAAGACATTTGGTCATTTGTTTGGTAAAAAATTTAGTGTCCCTAACATTACCCTAAAATAAATACAGTTAGTCTTATATTTTTGATATTATTATATGATCTACCTTTTAATAAGGTTAAACCAATCAAAACTAATATATATGATGAGTAAATATTGAAATAAACTAAAATAAATTTATATTTTAATAAAAAATCGATGATAATATCTTTTTTTTTTAATCCATAAAATTAATAGCTTATTAATTAAAAAAAAAGGGTAAATTATACAAATGGTCCCGATAGTTTACCCGTTTTTCAGGTCCACGTTGTTTCAATTTGATGAATTTTGCCCATTGATTTTACGGATTGTTCCATATTAGTCCAATAAATAACAACGGTTAAGTTTGATAGACAAAAAATCAAATGACGTTTCAATTTGGTCCCTGTAGTTTATAGGAGGTGTAGCTTATAGGAAAGTTAAAACAACAAGAACCAAATTGACACATTTTGTAAACTACAGGACTAAATTGAAACATCATATGATTATCCGTCCATCAAACTTAACCGTCGTTATTTATTGGACTAATATGCCACAATCTGTAAAATTATATGGCAAAATTGATCAAATTAAAACAACAGAGACCAAAATGAAAAAAAAGTAAAATACAGGGACTACCACCGTAAATTGCCCTTAAAAAAACATAATTGTTATGTGAATTAAAACCTTAAGAGAGACTAGTGTAATTATCTCAAATGTATAGAGCTAACTATATATTTTTCAATTCTCAAAGGAGGTGAGTGTAATTTACCTTTATATATTTTATATGAAAAGTATGTGTTATAAATAATGTATAGTTTTGAAAAATGAAAATAAAAAATTGATATGAACTAAAGCAAAACAAGGGAGAATTTCAAATCAGTGAAACTTGAAAAATAATTACAAATTAATGATAAATTTTATTAATATTAATAATTAAAATTATAAATTTTTTCACCCAATTAAAAATAAATAAATAAACACTAAGTGTTGAGTCAGAAGTTGCTCGTACAATTTTTATTTTCATTTTTTTTCCTTACCTATATACATATATATATATATATATATACACACGAATTACACTAACCGTTCCTTAGTTTTGGGTTTATGTCATTTTGATTTTTGATTTTTCAATTGTGGCATATTTGACTGTAAATTTAAAATTTTGTTTCAAATAAGGACATTTGAAGATAACATTACTTAATTTCAAAGACAAAGTCGTCAATTTGATAAAATAAAAACTAATTGAACAAAGATAAATATTAAAAAAATATTTTTTAATTTTTAAAAATTATTTCTACCCACTAAAGATAATTATGTAAAATTGATAAATTTTTTACACATTTATTATTTTTAAAAATTTTTTTTACCAAATTAATTTTTATGATATGGTTGGATGATGACCATGTAATAAGTGGTTGCTAGGATTTTAATGTATAATCGATATATTTAATATATGAAATTTTTTAGCTTTGGATTTTTTAAATTTAATGGATTAGTTTAATAATGATATCAAAGTTGTCGCCATATTTGACTTTAAAAAAAATAATAACTAATTTAATAAAAATAAAAATAATAACCCATTACATGATTATCATTCAAACACATAATAAAAATTAATTTGATAAAATAAATAAATGTGTAAAAAATTTATCAATTTTACGTAATTTTATCTTTGGTGGGTAGAAATAATTTTTCAAAAATTTAAAAATATTTTTGACATTCTATTTTTGTTAGTTTATATTTTATCTAATTGATGACTTTGCCCTTGAAATTAAACAATAGTGTCTCTAATTGTTTTTATTTAGAATAAGATTCAAAATTCAGGATCAAATGTATCACAATTAAAAAGTCAGGGATCAAAGTAACATAATTCTCAAATTATAAGCACCGTTAATATAAAGCTAAACCGAAGGAAAAGGGGCCTCTACTTAACATAGAATTTCTTTGTTGGGATGATGAATAGTTGACGTATCCAAATTAGAGCAAGGTAAATGTTTTACTTTTAGGTTGAAAGGGTATAGAGTAAATTTCGCAATGCATTAAAATTCTAGGTATTTTTACTTTTAGTATGTATGTAAGAATGATTGTATTAGTGATAAGTTGAAGCTGCAACTAGTAACAATTAAAATGAGAAAAAAATAGGAAGGAGTAGAGAATGTAGAAAGAAAGGGAGAGAGAAAAAATAATAAGAAAGGAATTAGTGAATTAATGGAAGAAAGAAGAGAGAAGAGAAGAGAAGAGACGTTTACCCTTGTAAACTCCTTGATAGATGTGAGGCAACTCGGCAAGATACTTGACAATGAAAGCACATGCAGAGCTTGCAGTGTCATGGCCACCAATCAACAAACCCAAAATCTTATCAGCAATATCAGTCTCCTTCATGAACTTGCCATCCTCATCGGGGGTGAGTAGCATGTAAGACAATATATCCTGAGTCGGGGAAGCCTTTCCCTCGGCCAAGTCAATCTTTCGTTGCTTGATGATCCTCAGTAGGTACTCTGTCCTAATGTACTCGGAGGCCTTTACCGATTTGTAAAAGGGAGTCCCCGGTAACTGCACGGGGATGGACAACAAACCCTCTGCCAAGAGGTTGAAGCGTTCCAAGAATTTATCAACATCCTTTGGATCTTCAATGCTAAGAAAGAGACGACAAGCTAGCCAAAAGGTGTAGCGCTTGGAGAGCGGGAAGACGACGATCATGTCCTTGTTCTCCCAGTCCGCAGCAAAGTGTCTCTGGGCGATGGTGTCCATGATCCCGATGTATCGCTGCAACGCCTCCGGTTTGAAGAAGTTTGGCAGCATTTTCCTCATCTTGATGGCCTCCTCTTTGGAGGATGTTTGGTTGGAAGATGGGAAGATCTTGTCGACTGAGCTAGGCCACCATGACTGAACCAACTTGTTCTCGTTCTGGAACAGGAACTTGTGGGCTGGTGCTCCGCAGAACACAACCGTTGGCTCCCTCATAAGATTAGTCTTGTAGATGTAGGAGGCGTACTTGGCTATCCTGTCAAATACGAACTTTTCTGGCTGGCCCTTCCACCCTGCAGCCAGGTACTGGAAACTCTCCCCGACCACTGGCCATCCCGTCTTCCCAGGAGGCAGAAGCTGCCGCTTTCTTTTTCGTCTGCCTTCCTCCGACTCCGACCCCGACCCCGACCCCGAAACTGCATATTTTTCTTCCTTGTACAAGATGAGCATGTGTAGTGACAAAAACACAAGAACAATAAAGAGGCAAAGGAGAGAGACATACAACACCTCCATGCCTTTTTTCTTTCTTTCTTTTTCTTCTCCAAAGCTCCCCCTCCCCCTTCCAAGATAAAAGATTGATTTGATCACCTTATATGGATTTCTAAAAATGCATTGATTGCTATTAAATGATTAACATCGATCATTTGTTGGAATAAATAGATAAATTTTTTTATAAAAGAATAATATTAGATATCATGAAAAAAACATTATGAAAATATTCTGTACCGTTAGTTTACACATATAAAAAATATGGCACACTAATCAAAAACTAAAAAATTTTCATAAAACATTTTATAATATTTTTTTTATAATCCATAATATTATTCTTTAGATAGCACGTGATGACGTGAATATTTTTTTTTAAGTGCAGGTGCGCACCGCACCGCACTGCCACATGAAATGCAAGGGACTCGTGTGCCTCGTGGAAGTGGCGTATCAGAGTGAAACGATGTCGTACTTCACAAAAAAGAGAAACACTCTTAATCTGCGACTAGTGTCCTAGTGTCACGACAACTCTCACCCGATTGGTTGCCTCCATCCTTTCGGATACATTGCTCAGTAATTAAGAAAGTATTAAATGAAGTACATTTATTTCTATTTATATTAGCGGTAATCCGTGCGATGCACAGAAAAATAGGCTATATATATTTTGTGTGTCACTTGATAACATAAATAACTTATATCAAATTAAACAAAACATTAAAAGAGAGAAATTCTATAAGCTTAGAAAAGTTATCATAAATTTACTTGGACTTTTAAATCAGTGGTGTATATTATTATTGTGAGATCAAATTATGAATAACTTTTAATTATAATTTATAAGTAGTTTTTTAAAAAATTTAATCTAAGTTTGTTGCCTTGCTTATAAAAAGAACTTCTCAAATAAATCATTAATTGATTATATTAGCAACTCTCTATCTTTGATTTCCTCTATCAATGACACACTCATATCATATCAAACTATAAATCATTCTCCATAGTTTGAATAATACTTGCATAGTTCCTACATCATTTTAAAAAAATTAATCAAGATAAGAATGTCATAGTATTATAAAAATTATATAAGAGAATAGTTTTAATCCATGTTATTTATAAAAAAAATGATAAAAAAATTATTTGAATTGTACTTGAAAAAATATAACAAATGATAGCTTTAATCATTATATACCCAAATCCAGAAGAAGCTGAATGTCTCCCTCAAAGCTCCTCTGCCGATTAGTTCTTATGTAATTCCTACAGTCTACTTCTGTAAATCCAACTTTGCTGATACCACCATACTCTTTGATCAGAACTGACATAATCCTCCGGGGCCCCATTCCAGCTGCCTGTAAAGTATCTATCAAGGTCTTGGCAGGGCCAGAAATTTGGCGATGGGAGCGAAGGCAATGCACCTGATCTGGGGGAACAAGTTCGTGATTGTGTTCCTTGACAAAGCCGGAGACAACCCATTTCCCGGAGGAATCTTGTATCTTCACGGACAAGGATGCTTTGCATCCCACTCGGGTAATGGTGCGGGGGCGCTTGATCTCTCTATCTTTGGTGCGCTTCTCATTCAAGTTCCGGAACCCTTCTTTGGCACAAACGAAGGATCTCTGTATGATTGCTCCATCCTTCCTGGACCGCCTGGAGGAGCTAACACGGGTGCTGAATCCAACGCGGCGACCATATGAGTTGTAAAAAGCCTTGGCAGCCTCTTCAGATTCAAATTCCATGCCCTCATAAGGCTCAAGATCAGGGTCCCCTTCGGGAATGTAGATTTCTCCGCCACCAAAGCCGCCACCAGGGCCAGTGGGAGTTTATCTTTATTTGTGGGCCTCACTATCATCACCTATAAATTATTTATGAATTTTATATGTTTATCTATAATGAAATTAATTAAAGTACGAAATGAGGGGGGGGGGGAAGAGAGAAATTTTGTTTTTTTTTAAAAAAATCAATTATTTAATCTTTATCTTTATTTGTAGGCCATGAAATTAATTTTTATAAGTTATTTATCAGCTTTTATTTGTTTATTTATGGGAAGAAATTTTAAATTATCTATAAGTTATGAAATTAATTTTTTTAAATTAATTGTTTATTTTTTATCTTTATCTGTAGATTATAAAATTAATTTTCAGTTTTTATATGTTTATCTATATGGAGGAATTTTGAAATTCAAATCTTTATCCATAAGTAATGATATTAATTTTAATTTTAATTAATCAAATAAATAAAAAAATGAAGAAAAATAAAAAACATGAAAGGCAATCAAATAAGGTTGCCACATAGGAAAGAGAGTGTTTTAAAATTATGAGAATTTAGGAATAAATATTTGGAGGTTTTTGACCAAATAAATTTTAAATTATCTATAAGTCATAAAATTAATTTTTTAAAATTAATTGTTTATTTTTTATCTTTATCTGTGGATTATAAAATTAATTTTCAGTTTTTATATGTTTATCTATATGGAGGAATTTTGAAATTCAAATCTTTATCCATAAGTAATGAAATTAATTTTAGTTTTCATTAATCAAACAAATAAAAAAATGAAGAAAAATAAAAAACATGAAAGGCAATCAAATAAGGTTGCCACGTAGGAAAGAGAGTGTTTTAAAATTATGAGAATTTAGGAATAAATATTTGGAGGTTTTTGACAAAATAACTACATTTGGTTATATATATAGTATAGATAACAAATAATAAAAACTTTTCAAAGTTGTTAGGATTAAAGAACATTTTTTATCGTAGAGACAAAATTCCCATTTTATATTTCCCTCAATTTTATTCCTTAATTTTTCTTCTATTATTTTATTTCATTATATTTATAACACATTTTTTTTTCTTTTATAATTTGCAACACATATGCTGATTATATAATTCTAAATAAATTATTTTATTTATTTGATTTGTTGTTTTTTGAATAAATTGACATGCATTTTTTTTTTTTTTGTTGGTGGTTATGATATTGTAACATTAATAAATAGAAATCTAATTGCAAGTGAGATTCATTAATGCATTTAAAAAAATTGTTTCGACTTAAATGAGCTTTCAAATAAAGAAAATATTATTATTTTATGAAATTTATAATTTATTTTTATTTATAATGAAATGTTTATATTTTTTGTTTTTCTAGTTAAGAGGGTACAATTATTGCATTTTGTTTTATTGTTATTATTTTTAATTTTGAATGCAATATAAGCTTCTACATATTTTACTTTACATGCTTTTTTAATTTTTCTTAATATACGGTTGCTTTATTTATTTGAACTGACACTACACATTAATATTGGAATCTTCTAAATAGGTCAATTTCATTATTCTAAAGTGAGGATATTTTTGTCCATGTAAAAAAGTGTCTAGTTTTTTTAAATCATCATATTTATTTCTTTTTTAGTATTTTATATTCTCTACACAAATGGAGGGAGTTACCCTCATTTATTATATTCTTAACATGTGTCCTAATCCCACATGTTAACGGAACCATTACTAAATAAGGAAAACGAGTGAGTGAATTGGACAATTTCAGTATACAATTTCGACGAATTAATTAAAATAATATTATGTTGGAGGTAATTTCGGTAATAATTAATTAAAGTAAATAAAATAAATAAAGAAAATAACAAAATTAAACCTTACAGTACTTCTGCAGATGGTTTATGAATAAGTTTGTGAATGAGGCCAGTGTTTGAACACTGTGTCTTTAAGATAGAATTTTCCCCTCTCCAATGGTGCTTGAAAACAATGGACGTCATATCTTCATGATACAACAATCACCACAAATGAAGAGAGCACACTCTTTGATTATACAATGAACCAAAATTATGTTTTGCACTCACAAAATTCAGACTCACATAAATGAAAAATACAAGAAGAATGCATGAACTTGAGGAAATTTGGAATTAAAAAATTGGAATGGGGGCTACCTTTATATATACTTGTTGGTACCTGTTCAATTTGAACAAAAAAGACACGAAGAAGGGACATGACCCTTCTTTTAAAATAAAGAAACAACATGAAAGAATTGCACCCTTTCATTCAAATGGAGGGTTGCACCATTTTATTCAACTGGAGGGTTACACCCTTTCATTCGAATGGAATTTTTTCAATTCATCTCTACCTTTATAAATTTTACAACAATCCCTCACATGAATGAAATTAATGAAACGAGAAATGCAACAACATGTAGACTATGTGAGTACAAATTTGGAAATATCCTGCACAAGATATGTAGCTTTTGGCCTTGAATCTTCTCTTGTAAAAGACTATCGGATTTACTGGCTGATCAGTGAACATGATATCTTAAATTGCCCCGTCGTTGGTGTAAACTGAGACAATAGCCTGACACAGTTTTATTTCCATACACAACTTGATTTTATCGGTTGTGTCCATTTTGGCCCTAGAAAATTCCTAGATTCATGAGTGCTCTAGAGAATTTAGCCTTTTCAATTTTCATAGACCAGCCCAGTTCACACCCATATAGGTGATTTCCATTAAAAGTATCTTGTTATACACCACTTGAATTTCCAAGCTATGAGACTCATTAAAAGCAGAGCTTAACCTATTTATCGCTGTAGGTAATCACTATCTCATCATAGAAATGGGTTGAAGTTTTATTCCTTAGTGATTCTAATGAGTCATTCTTAATTCGGTTGTTTCTTTGAACCTAGATCTTGGGATCTCCATTCAATTAGGTTGAGTTACCATTAAGATAATTTGTAAGTGATAGATTTTAATCCCATTCCCTTCGATGATCGCAACACTTGCTCTTTGGTCAAAGCCTTTTTCAACAGATCTGCTATGTTTTCATTTGACCTTATAAACTCAGTGGAAATTATTCCATTAGAGAGTAGTTGCCTAATGGTGTTATATCTACGATGAATGTGACGAGACTTACTGTTATACATATGATTTTTTGCCCTAGCCATTGTGATTTGACTATCGCAATAAATGCAAATCGCTGGCACAAGTTTCAGCCATATTGGAATATCTTCTAAGAAACTACGAAGTCATTCTGCTTCTTCTCCTGCTTTGTCTAAAATAATAAATTTAGATTCCATTGTCGATCAAACTATGTAATCTACTTAGAAGATTTCCAAGAGACCGCTCTACCTCCTA